AAGACACAGGAAGAATTGACTAGATGTGAAGCAATTAAAATGGCTTCTAAATATATTTAATTGATCCTCTTACGTTTTTGCATCCAACAAAGCCCTTGTGGAAACACGAAGGAGGAGCATTCAGTTCAGCATGTCACAGAAGCAACAACTGTCTAAATGTATCTCCAGGGCAGCTGAAGGAAGAATCATTTCTCCCTGCCTATTCATAAATCAAGCTATAAAGTTGGTCAGTCATGATACAAAGCTACCTAGTAAAGTTCTGGTAATATATAAAAGCTACACGAAAACAACTAGCTCAAAATTCTGAAAAACTACATATGTAAATAAATTTTGCCTTGCTGTTTGGGGATAATCACAAGGCATGAGGGATTATTGGCAAAATAGTTTAAGCTTCCAGATGCAAAAATCTGATGGTCAGTCACAGTAAATACAACTTAATTTCATGTCACAACACCATATCCATTCAGTTTTCTATTTTGGAAAAACAAATAAACACAAACGTTTTTTCCAGGCCAGGTTTTACACAAATGAAGTCCCTTCTATTTAGCATCAATTAGCATGTTTGGACACGTGACAGAAACAAACTTAATTTTGCAAGTTGGGTGGAGTTCACCAATTTTAAAAAACATGTTTGACACTCCACAGGTGAGAAGGTGGGGACAGGTGTTAAAATGCAAATGCAATCAAAGCATGAAAGACTAATCCTTTAATTTCTTCCATTGATTAAGCAGTAGGCCAATATCCTCCCTTAAAAACACCAGACATGATAGTAAAGAATTCAAATCTAGAATATTAACAGTATACAGTTCTTGGAGCAAATAAAATTCACTTGTAGGTAAGAAATACAGGTACTGTTCTTTAGTCTTCTACATGTTATTACATAATACACTGGAAAATACAGTCTGCCTACAGTAATTGCAATTATCTTTTGAAATGCTGAATGTCTGCATTTAGAACTAACTGAAAAAAGCCTTGCTCATTGTTTCAGTTTATTTTGGTTCATGAATTCTGACTAGTCACACTTGACTCTTCGTATCACCTACGATATGGATGTATTATTTGGTACCTATATGAAATACTAAGCTTTCACCCATCTAAAGTTAAGAATTGCTGACTTCCAAATAAATTTATGGAAAGACAAAACTGGACTCTATTGTTTGACTACTTCAGAAAAGTCGTATTTTCATAAAATATTGTCAGTAAAGCTACCAAAAGACAGCATTTACATTGCAAGCTTTGTTGAAATCTGCCAGCTGGTATATCAGATAGACTTCTCCGCATTTTCTTCATAAAAATAATTGAAGAAATCTCCCCATCACCTCCAATAATCCTTGTCTAGGAAAAACTAATGATTAGCTTTTGCCATGCAGTACCTGAATCTAATACAGTCACTGAACCTCTTTCTTGTTATCAATCTTGAAACAATGACATTGTTTCAAAAGAACATATGAATTACTTCCATGAGAACTTTCATGATACAGATCACTGTAGACCAATTTCTCTGAAATTAAAACTATAGCAGTCAGGATAATTTCAACTAACTAGTCCCAATATTCATGCCGTGAGGCCAATGACAGCTTTTCTACAAATTCAATTAAAAGGGGCTTGTGATTCTGCTGGTGCATTATTTAATGTGCTATGTTCATGTTGTGTGCCAGAGGATATATTCATGGTATTATATTCAGATTTCTAGAGCTGTGCAATTTCACTGTTAAGCAGTTTCTGTTTGATTATATGAGAATGAGTTTAACTGATGTATTTCTCCCCTTAGTTCTAAGTCAGGATCTACGTTCCCTGCAAGCTAGAAGGAATGAAATTCATACGTAAAGATAGTTTTATTTTTATTAACTTAATCCAAGGGTAATACTATCAGATAAGCAAAAGGTCAGATATAACAAAAAGCCTCTAGGGCAAAGGGAATCACTATAGCACCATGAGCTTGAAGGAGGGAGACAGGACAGATAGCTTGTAAGTTCTTGTTTGTAACTATCTTGGAACATTTTCAAGTATGCCTGTAATGCAACTTTATTAGGTCTAAGTGCAATGTGAAGTAATCAGCTTTAAGAGATTTCATTAGAAGCTGCAACCTCATCAGACCTATTCAGATTCAAAATATTTCAGTATATTTTTTTATTCCTTTTGAAAAAAAAAAAAAAAGTCAGGCTACAAGTCCCATTTCTTACTATCTACACCATATATAATAAAAAGAGTATCATTATTAATGGTGCATTTCTAGTCAAAAATCTAAGCAAACACAATATTCAGGACATCAGGTTTTCATCTGAAATTCACTTCAGTGGGCTTTTGTGCAGGGCTTTAGCTTTCTTTGGACAGCAAACACAGGAAAAAAAGCACAACTCTAATGTCTTTGGTGATGATCAAAGTACATACAAGAAGTAAACTCTACAGCTAGGTACCTTTTAAACCAGTAGATCTCTTCCGGATCTGCAATTCCATATTCTCTTAACTTCATCACCATCAGAGAGCTCTTCCTGATGGCTTGCTCATAACGTTGGCTACGGGACAGGAAGTTCAAATCCTCGTGTTGGAAGTCAGGGTCATTAAAAACTAAAGCCTCTGGGGACAGAGCAGAAAAGCAAAACAAACTCAGTTTCCACAAACTTTGACAGACTGCGAGTGAGAAACAATTCAGCATTTCACTTTCTGTACCTAAAGGTACTGATACCAGAAAATTAAAAGTTAATGAAATCAGAAAAAAGTCAAAGCTCTTGGAGAGGGGGACTCTAGCAACAGAGCACTCTCCCATTCCACATGTAAACCATGTTTTTAAGTTCAGAGGACTGTGGAGTTGGCAGGAGGTTAATTCACTGATGCAAGACCTGCAGGCCCCTCAATAACAATTTCAAATACTCAAATACTCATTGTTACTGCTGGATCAGACAGCCTCATGAACTTTGGTTCCCATACAACTCCTTCCAGAAGGGCAGTGCTATTATTCCTACTATGCTGACTGGAAACCAAGGTACCGCTGACTTTGTGTCTCCTTTGCCACAGAAGTCACACAACATCAGCCTGACAGTCCCACCCCAGCATGGCCTGGGAAAAGGACGGAGGTACTTTATTAATCTCACATATCATGGAGTGCTGGGTGAGAAACAGGTCATTTTTGTACTGTTGGGCAAGAGCATGCTAGGAAGGAAAAAGGAGGGGAGAGGGCTCGAGAGAAATGTCCACAGGAAGCTACCTCTCACCTTCTAGAAGGGGAAAGACAGAGGAAGAAGGACATTACTCTATTAGGGCCACCCCAAATCCTCTCTGGGGAGGGGAGAAGAGGGGGATCAGGAACATAACACTGCTTCTGCTCCCCTCAAACCCATGAGGCAAAAGCCTCTTCCTTCAACCTTCTCCTCACAGCTTTCCCCTCTCCCCAAAAGCTCCCCCTTGTGCCTTCCCCTTCCCTCCCGGGTCCCCCTCTCCCCACAGCTTCCTTCCTCATCCCTTCCCCCGCGGTCTCCCACCAGCAAACACCGCCCCTCCCCGTCCCACTCCCCCAGCCTCCCTAGCCCTGGAGGCCTCCTCTCGGGTCTCCCTGTGCCGCCGCCGCCTCTCCCCTCCCCACACCGCGCTCTCCCTCCCGCTCAGCCTCCCCCAAACCCCCCCAGCCCTCCGGCCCGGGCAGGTCCCATTCCCCCTCAGCGGGGGGGGGGGGGAGGGGAAAGGGCACGCCCGGGGCCTCCCTCACCGATCTCCTTGCGGCGGCGGGTGCGCTCGGCGCCGCCGTCCAGGATGTGTGTGAGTAGCTCGGGCTGGAAGGCGGCAGCGGCGCGCTCCCTCCGCAGATCCGCGTTCATCATCATCACCACCACCATCGCGGCGGCGGCGGCTCCCCCCCCGTCCCCGCCACTGCCCGCACCGGACCCCGCTGGCCACGCCCCGCGCGCGACGTCACGCCCGACCACGTGACCGCCGCCTTCCCGCGGGACGCTGCAGGGCGGTGAGCGGCGGCGGGGCCGGGCTCCAGCGGGTTTTAAACACGCGTGTAGTGGGGGGGGGGGGGGGGGGGGGGGGGGGGGGGGGGGGGCGCGGGCGGCATCGCACTTTATGCTGCGCGTTAAGCTCTGCGCGTCGGCGCTTAAAGCGGTGCGCGTAGCGGGGCTGCGCCGGGAACGGGGAGTGCCGTGGGAGTCAGGCGGGCGCGCATCCTGCGTGACGGGGTGTGCTGAGCAGACACAGAGCGTGGGGCTGGGCATGCGTGGGGTAGCATATTGAGTGTGCGCGTAATGGTCTGCGTTTGGGTCTCGGCGTGCACTAAATAGCACGGCGAGAGTGCACATAACATGCTGCATCTGCAGTCGGGAATTTAATAGCTAATTAAATAAATAGTTCCTTAAATGCCCGTATAGCATGCTGCATTTGTTCACGTGTTAAACACTGCATTAGGTAGTGCACTAGATGTGCATATAACGTGCTGCATGTGGGGCCAAGCGTGAGTTAAACGTGCCTGCAGCGTGCTGCAGCTGAGGTTGCAGATGCACAAAACGGTGCGCTGAGTGGGCACGGCGCATGTTGCAGGTGGGGTTGGGCATGTGTTAAAAAGTGCATTTGATGCACGTTGAGCATCTTGGGTTCCTGGCTGATCCCATCCTGCTGCACAGTGTGATGCGGGAGCAAAACTTGAGTGATGGGAAGTGCAGAGCTGAACCTGCTTTTTAAATCTGGGTTAGCAGAGGCAGAGATGCAGGAGTTGCAGAGTGCAGAGAAGTGGATTTCCACCTCCGGCACTGCTGGTTGAGACCCTGCCAGAAGGGTTTCACTGCCCACAGAGCCCCAGTCTGTGCAGAGAAGGGGTGAGCCAGCCTCGCCCAGGTTTTGGTGGCCACCCATGACAGCCCTCTGTGGGATGGCGGTGGGGTATCTTGCAACGTTGCAACCCCCTGAGCAATGCACGGGTTGGGCAAGGGGCACCATGCACTAAAGCCACAGAGTTTCAGCTCTGTGTCCCCACTGTTGCATAATCAGTATTGGGGGGTCCTCAGACCTTTTGGGGTGGCCCCCCTTGTCTGAATTGCAGGAGTCTCTGTCTGGGCCGTTGTGCAGCTCTTGGAGTCCCCTGCAGCAAGGCAAGAAACCAGAGAGAAGAGTGATAAATAGACCATGGAAACACACTGAACATGGACACCCTGCAAGGGAGATCAGAGGGAAAATGATACCAAAAGAAATCACTCTGGGGCCCAGCCAGCAGCCTGGCTAGGGCACTGGCTGGACAGAATTAAAAACTTGCCGAAGCTGCTCTGCATTCCTGCTTTTCTATGTGCTTTGCACTGTGCTGGCCTGCCTGTGCCAGTCCTGCTCCACCACTGGGCCTCCCAGGAGGTCCCACCAGAGTCTTGGCTTGGGGTGAATCATTCTCACTCATCGCTGTCTTATAAGCCCTACTAGACTACTGAAGAAACCAGACTGGCTTGTATCCAAGTAATTGTTCTCCAGCTGAAGGATCAGACACTGCCAGAATTTCTTATCCTGTGTCAGGAGAACAGACTTGGGATCATACCTTAAATCTTGCTGCATGGTACCTCATCACCTCAGCAGCTGGGTCTATTCCTGCATCTCAGTCCGTCACACTCTCTGAACTTCTCAGTCACCTTTTTCCCCGCTTCCTTAACCTTTCTCAACCCTTCCGTAGCCTGGGGGAAATCTGGAGGATCTGGTGGGCTTCCTGTTGCTGTTTATGCTGGATTGTGGTGGAGGAAGGTAGCCCCTTGTTATGCCAGGATGCCCAGAGCTTGCTGCATGCACTGAGCTGCAAACAGGACTCAGCAGGGAAGCTATGAAGCTCCTGCAGCCCCTGGATGGGGGGCCCTGGGCAAAGAAGGAGTTTTGGGGCACTGTCACCTAGTATCTAGAACAGATGCTGGGCTGGCATGAACTCAGATCTTTTGCTTTACTGCAGGCCCAACGGCGGTTGTGTGAGATGCTGCCAAGTGCTGGTGTCTATTACTTCCCATGGGAGATCAACAGCTCAGTCCCAGAGGGGGAGGTGCTGAGGACGTTTGGCAAGTGAGAAGGGTATCCCACTCTCTTTGCAGGCCAGGCCTTTGCTTCACTGGCTCACCCCCCTCCCTTTGTTTGTAATTGTATCTGTGCACTACTGAGCTTCCCAAATTGATCATTCCCAGGTTATGCTGCTACAACCTGGCCAGGTCCGAAGCTGTTCTCACTGCTCAGCACAGCTCAGCTCAGTACCGGGTCTGTGTCGACACCAAGTTTGTGGAGCCATTCCAAGCCCAGCTGGGATCTTGCTACATGGTCCTGGGAGAGGCTGAACACAGGGAAGGTAAATGCTCCAGAAACCAGTGCCCTTTGGGGCTCTTCATGGATCGTCAGCTCCTTCGTGGTTCCCTGGGTGCATGGTGAGGCACTGTCACGGAGGTTAGTGTTGGCCAAGGCAGGTTCATCTGCAGCTGCCCCCAGTCACACAAGCGTGTGCTTCAGGGCAGGAGCAGCTTGTCTCTCCCCACTGACCATGAGAAGAGCCCCTTGGTGAAAATCTGGTGCTCTGGCACAGATTTCGTTAGAAACAAGAAGTGCCTCAGCAGCATCACTGATCTTGTGAAACCAAACCTGTGCTAGAGCTTTCTGGAATCATTTCCAGCCAACACATTGTCTTCACTCCAAACAGGGCTAATTGCAGCAATACCTCATTGTGAGCTGGCTGGGTTGGTCTTTGCCATCCTTGAAAGGCTCTAATTATACCCCTGCCCTCAGACACGGGCCATGAGGAATGCAGACAGGCTCTGTCATGCAGGGCACCCTGTTGTCCTTTCCTGGGGTGCCCAGAGCATTACTCCAACTGCACGGTCCTTTGCACAGGGAGTTGATTTGGGCTGGGCTGTAAGGTTGTAAAGCAAATCCCAAGTGTTGTCTTGGCCACACCTGATGACAAGGATTCACATTCATGCCACTGAAATCCTCAGTGGCATGTCGAAAGCCACACTGCACGTGGCATCTAGTGAGTGTCCTGCTAAGCCGCTGCTGCAGAATTCCTTTAGAAAGATATGTTATATTGGTCATCACAGCTTAGGAGAGTGTTGGCTCCATTTTGCAGGGGTGGAAGGGGAGCAGGCTGAGATGGTGGCTGTGTCAACCAAGTTTTGGCCCCTTTCGTTCAGCTCAGTGTTACCATTTGGATGCTACTGATGAACTGTTGGTTATAGTCAGCATTGAGCCTCTTCTAAGCCCAGCTTTGTTCTGTCCTCTTCTTGTCTGCACAGAGGCATTCAGAAATGAGCTTAGACCCATCCCTGCTGCTTTTTAGACAGGGAAAACCAAACTTTATCCAGCCATGAAGTAGACAGATACTGCATGGCAGGCACTGACACCAACAGCTCAGCGTTCCCCAGCGCAAGGAGAGCACAGTGTCAGTCACCAGCATTTTGTAGCCAGCAGGGAAGAGGGGAAGGACGTCACCAAATTAACCTGCTCCCAGGCTGCTGCTCCCATCGATGGAGGCATGTGGCTGGTCTGGTCTCCTGCAGGTTCTCAGGTTATGGTTATTGGGCCAGCTGGAGCCATATGCTACCTGAGGAAACCTCTCTGTTTGCCTCTGAGCTGCTCTGTCTGTTTTTCTTTCTACAGAGAAAAAAAATTATATTTTCTTTCATATTTCTATACCTGTTTATATTCCCAGGTGAGGGCCCTGTGGTAAAGGCACGAATATTGACGTGTGTGGAAGGGATGAATGTGCCCTTGCTGGAACAAGCCATACAGGAGCAGAGGAAATACTTCAACGAGAGGCAGGAGTGGATGAGAAGCAGCACGTCCTGACAGTAGCTCTGAGACCCGCCATACGCTGGTCCTTGCACTGCTATTTGGAAAAAATGTTAAAAGTAAATTTAGAAGGTGGGTTTGCAATATACTGCTTTTTGCCATGGTAAATAGCAAAGTCAAGTCACTAGGCAAGGAAACACTTGAAGGCTGTGGGTCGGTATGTGACTGTGGGTTGGTATGTGACTGTGGGTTGTCCATTCATGCCAGCTGTCATCACTGAAAATAGCTCTGGGAAGCAGGTTTGTTGTTTGTTTAAAATGGTGCTTAAGCAGCGGTAGCGCTTGAGTTATACTGGTCCTTTTGTAATTCAAGGCTCGGAGACATCAGAAAAAAGAGAAGTCTGAATCTTGAGTTAAGCAACTCACCCCTGCATGCACGGCCAAAGCGCAGCAGGTTACCGCGCTGTTGGCAGATCGGAGGTAAAGGGCATTAGTGCAAAGTTCGTTAGCCCTGTGTGGGTGCGGGTCCATGAGTGCATGCATTTGGTTACCGTGAGTCAGCTGTCACACAGGAGCGTTCCTGGCAAAACACTCATATCTGGGCTGACCAACGAAGAAACAAGAACAAAGAGTTACTATCTTTAGTAGCACCTTCCTCTTCAGGTTTTCAGGACCTGGTGTCCAAGGCAGGGGATTGACTTTAGCTCTAAAATAGATGTTTGCAGTGCCCTGAGAACAACCACTTGACTTTCTTCCTTGATACAACTAAGCTTAGGAGACCTTAAGTCACTATTTTTTTTAAGCGTCTAAAGATTTTGATTGATATTTTCCTAAATAAAGATGAAAAGAGATGGCAGCATGTCTTTTACTGATTAAAAACTTCTTTCTTGCTAAAGCAAATGTATTAGGCCCTGCAGAATCCCCATGGATGATATAAGAAAATTTAGAAGTATGCAGTTTTCCTCCTTCTACATACTGGGTGTGTAAGGAAGTACTTGGCTTTGAAAAAGTTGCAAGAGGAGATGAAGTACATCAGAGCCACTCTGGTTTAAGAACACAGTGCCAGGCTCACCTAGCAGAATTAAACCGTGAAGAAGAACACAGAAAACTACTAATGTGAAATGAGAATAAAATATTAGTGCAAAAGAGAGAAGACTGTCCTGTGCTGTAGGAATCCATGGACCTGGAATGTGCTGTGACTGTGTTTTGCATGGAAATTCAGCCACCTGCAGCCTTTTCTGCTTTTTACTCAGATTCTCTGGTGAAATGTTCAGAAAATAATGACTGAAGCCACACAATGCACAGCAGCAGATCAAAATGCAACAGGTGTTGGCAAAGTCCCCTGGTACCAGCAGGCTTGATTCAAGGGCCTGAGATGGCTCAGTAATTACAGTGCTTGCTATAATCTTTAATTATAGTTTAGCCTTATGTTTTTCTTCACACAGTTTCAGAGATCCAAAAGCCCTGCCTCAGCACACTCTGTTCAGCCCAGGTCCAAAAGCATGATCTCAAGACGCAAGATTTTAACCTGCTTTAGTGAGAGACAATGATGAGTCTGTCATAATGTGCTTATCTCTACACCTCACCTCCTGTATGCTCTCCTACCTTCCTCCCTGTGCTTACATTTTATCCAAATGGCCAGGTTTGACAAAGAGTTGGGAATATGCAAAATACCAGGGTTCCTACGAATGCTATGAAAAATAAAAACACAAACCCAAAGCCAGAAAGAGGAGAGCAATTTTGACAGTGACTCCAGATAGAGATGTGAGTGCAAACTCAACCTTTACAAGCCACCAGAGAACCTACACAGGAGCTTGCCATGGCCATGTGGATCACTCCAGCCACAGATCAACCATGCTTTGGCTCTTTCAAATTGGCAAAATTTGAAACCCTAAAAGTTGGGGTCTGCACTGTGGACCCATGCAGCCAGTGGGCTACCATGTCCTGCTGTGCCCACCCAGAAACATGGAGTCCCAGAGCCCTCCAGAAGACAGTCCCTGTGGCTCTACCTTTCCTGCTGACACTAGGCATAATATTTTGTTAATCTTGTCATCTGTCGGTTGTCAAGTCAATGATTAATCCCCCCCCAAGGACATCCTCCAAAAGGCTGACCAAGCGGCACAGCCCATGGTGGGTAGGTTCAAGGGACAGTTTCACAAGACCAAAAGAAACAAAACACCCAAACAAAAGAAACCCAGAAAAAGACATTTCTTCTGTGTGTTGTACCTCAGCGTGTCCCAGGGAACCCAAGTTATGCACCACATCCCCTTGACACCAGGCACTGTACAAACAGAGCCGGAGAGTTTCCCTTGACTCTGTGCAGTCCCTGCTGCCTTTCCCGCAGGCCTGGAGCACCTCTTTACATCCATTTTGCTCAATTTTTGTTTTAGCCAGAACACCAGATGACCTGGGTCACAAGCAACCAGTCCTGGGCAGTTAGAGCACTGCATGTTTGGCTCTTTGGGTCTGGCCAAAGCCCCCCGGAGACCCCCACACCCCACAGACACCCGCCAGCGTGCCCAGTCAGCCCAGTCTGCCTGCGGCTGCCTCAGTTCAAGGCAGGTCCCTGTGCTGGGTGAGCAGCAAGGGGGGACCCACACCCCAAAAGCAGCTCAAGAGGCACACGGGGAGAGCAAACACCTTCTGTGCGTTTGAGGTTTTGGGTTTTTTCACCTGTTTTTTTTTTTGTTTTTTTTTTTTTCCTTTTCTCATCAGAAAGCGGCACCAGCCGCTCCCACAGCCACCGCAAGTCTGAGGCAGCACCATGGATGCCTTCCAGGAGGCGTTTCAGAAGGTGGAGAAGATCGGGGAGGGCACCTATGGCGTGGTGTACAAGGCTCGCAACAAGCGCACGGGGCAGCTGGTCGCCCTCAAGAAGATCCGCTTGGACTCGTGAGTGGGGCAAAGCCCTGGCCCTGGGGCTGCCATGGCCTGGCCCGGCCCAGCGCCCACCCGGCCCGCCATGGCACCAGGCTGGCTGCCTCCTCGGCGCCATAGCAACAGGGTGGCCGAGGCGAGAGGGAAGGCGAGGAAGGCGAATGGCTCCTCTGAGGCTGGCAGTGCCGTCGGTGGGGAGATGGCCGCCAGCAGTGCCCCAGCCCTGCCAGGGGAGTAAGCAGGAGGGCCCTGATGTCCAGTGTCCAAAATGGCTCAAAAAAGGCCTGACACAAGGGAAAAAAATATCTCTATTGGCTCATGCAAGCAGCTAGAACCTGGCATGGCGCTACCTGGCCCCGGCCTCGTGATGTAGCCACCATTTTGGGAGGTGGCCTCTCCCTCAGGGGTACGGTGCTGGGGCCTGGTGAGGCTCAGCCTCCCAGCAGGGCCAACTCCAACCCTTCCAGGGTGAGGACTGAGCAGATAAAAGTTTATTACTGTTCCCCTGGCTCTGCCTCGGGCTGTCACCATGATGAGGGGTGTCAATGTGGACTGGGGGCCATGGTGGTGGGACTGCACCCCATTGTGGCCCCTCAGGACAGTGGAGGTGGCTGCCTGAGGGGCAAAGAGCTTTCATCTCCCCCCCCACCTCTGAAAAGTGAGGCTTGGGCATCTAAACTGTTGTTGCTTCTCCAAATGCGCCCTCAGGTGCTTCCAAACAAGCCCCAGAGCTTGCACTGTCTAGGTGACCCCCTCCCTCTCCTTCCCCACGGCTCAACTTCCCCCTGCCTCGTCCCAGCCCACCCCATGCACGGCTCCATCCCAAACTCAGGGTGCCCGGTGTGACACCCTCCCCTGGGCAGGTGATGGGGTACAATGGAAGGGAGAAGGGACACAGGACCCACAGGACCACGATGGACTGTGGGATCCCACTGGGTGATGGAGTGCTGTACAGCCTGTCTCTGCTGCAGGGAGATGGAGGGTGTCCCCAGCACTGCGATCCGAGAAATCTCACTGTTGAAGGAGCTGAAGCACCCCAACATAGTCAGGTAAGACCTGGATGAACACTCCCCACCAGCTCATTGTTGAGCTTTGGGTACAGGCACCAAGAGGGGGTTTCCTGTCCTTCCCTGACTGCACAACAGGAACAAAATAAACAGGAAAATGCAGGATTACTTGCACTTCCCTGGGAGCAGTACCTCACAGCACTGCCACTTCACTCCAGCAACGCAGGCTGGTCCAAGCTGCAGCTGCCCCATACTAAATGCTGCTTTTCTATCTGCCTTTCTCTGTTCCAGGGGACTCAGAGCAGAGGCATCTGTAGGAGGAGGGATGTTTGGGTATTTGCGAAGGTATGGAGAAGGTGCTGAAAGGTGCTACAGGGAATGCTTGCACTTCTTTTGCAGGCTCCTCGATGTCGTACACAGACAGAAGAAGCTCTATCTAGTGTTTGAGTATCTGAATCAGGACCTGAAGAAATACATGGACTCATCCCGAACTGGAGAGTTTCCTTTAAGCTTGGTCAAGGTACAGTGTGAAAGGAGTGCTAACAGGCAAGGCAGACAGAGTGTGTCCTTGGTGCCTTCTGCTGGGCAGAGCCAGCACTGAGCTGCTTGTGCCCAGACTGCATCTGGAAAAGGTTGATCTTTGGCTGGAGGCATTCAACCTCTCACATCTCAAACATTTCATCTGGGAAAACCTCATGGCACTCTTGCTCAGTGCATTTATTTCCCAGCTGTTTCCAGGCCCCCCAGCCTGTCTCGCTACAGAACAAACTGCTGTTAAGAGGACAACTGAGGGCTCTACTGCTAATTGCCTTTGTACAGAGCAATGGATAGGTGGAAGGGACTGCCACTGCTTGGGTTGGAGTCTCTGTCCCCATGTAGGGTGGGAGCAGTTCGTGTGCATGTCTGAGTAGTGGCCCGCAAGCCTGATGTTGCATTATAGCAGGGTCTTTTTTCCCATTCAGGTCTATAAATGATCCAAAGTGTGTTGGTTCATGTGATCTAGCCTTCAAAGTGGTTTCATTGTGACCTTGTCTGAAATCTCCTCTCTCCTTAGAACTACCTTTTCCAGCTGCTGCAGGGCGTGAGTTTCTGCCATTCACACAGAGTCATCCACAGGGACTTGAAGCCACAGAACTTGCTCATTAATGAAGCAGGAGCGATCAAGCTGGCTGATTTTGGACTGGCAAGAGCTTTTGGGGTCCCCCTGCGCACATACACTCATGAGGTATTGTTGAGGCTCCCTGCCACCTGAGGGTGGGGTACAAAATCCATAGGGGGTGAGCAACAGCAGCATCACAAGCTACTCATCCATAATGGGGGCACATGCTCTTAACCTAACCTACAGCTGAGGGGTTACCTCATGTCCCCACCAAAAGTGCTGACTGCTTCTAGCCTAGCCTGCCTGCAAGCTGGATTCTCACCTTCTCTAGGGTATATTTATTTGTTCCAGATTGTCCTGTTGAAGAATGATCTGTTAATCCCAATCTTGCTGTCACTAAGGTGTCTGTTACTTTAGCGTGGCCTTGGTGCACTCTGATTTGTACAGTCACTGCATTACAGCTGAGAAGAGAGGATCCAATGCCTCTAGTTCCACCCAGGGAAATTAGACAAAGCTTGTTTGTTGGTTCTTTACCAGGTGGTGACTCTGTGGTACCGAGCCCCTGAAATACTGCTGGGATGCAAATACTACTCGACTGCTGTGGATATCTGGAGCATCGGCTGCATCTTTGCAGAAATGGTAGAATGGATTCAAATAGTCTCTTTAATGAGCAGGGAGGTTGCAGCTGCAATGGGAAGTGGGGAAGGAGGGACAAGATGCAGAAGATCTGTGATTCTGTGGTCCTGTCCTGGGGTGTGCATTATGCAAAGCCCATGCTGAGGGTTAGCTGATCCTTCGCTGTGGGCTCAGAAGGAAATTTGCCACCAGCAGGGACCTGGCAGAAAGCAAAGAATCCTCTGTAGTCCAGTTGCA